GAAGGAGGGGGGGGTGGGGGGGGGGGGGCTTTCTTGTACCACAGCTGTTCTGGAACACAACACCCACGTTTTTGTCTTCCCACATGGTGTAGTAAAAGTCTCGTCTTCTCCCTTGGCTCTGCCACGCTCGTGAATTGGATCTCTCCCGTTACCCTAAACACAAAAACCCTTCCCTTGTGCGATTCATGTCCAAAAACACTCAAGGACCGCCGACATGAATGGCGCCTCTACTACAAGTAGTCGCAGCCAACGGCCTCACAATCTCTCTCAAGCCGTTCTCCCCCTCTTCTTCACGCCGATCTCTCTCGACAAACCAGCAGTTCTGCGGCCTGAGGACAACCGCCCACACCTATACGCGCCTCACCCTCAAGTACACCGACGGGTCGGGCTTGAAGCGGGGTGGGTCGAAGTCGCTCTCCCCCGAGTGGATCTTGTCCGCCGGAAAGTAGTCGTCCAGACCGCAGGCGTGCACGGAGGCGGGGACTCGCGGCTTCGGGCTGGTGGTGGCGATCGCGAACGGGACCTTCCTGGCCTTGAGCTCATCCAGCGTGTCCACCATTCCCTAAACAAGGTGGTGGCAGCCAATAAACCAGTCACACACGCATACGCGCCATGCGGTCGGTCACCGCTATCCGGGAAAGGGCGCTATGCTCGTTTCATGGCGTTTATTGTCAACGAAAACACGTACTACCAAAAGAAAAAACACAAATAACAAAGGGATGGATGTGACCCGCACCAGACCCGTGCCCACCGTCGGTACCGGTGGTGCCAGGTTTCCCGACCCTGACCCCCCACAGCAGCGCCGGTGATGTCTGGTCCGTCCCCCCACCAGACATGACCGGCGCTGCTGTTGAAGCTGGTTAGCCCCCGCCAACAGCACAATTAGTGTTTGCTGCACAGGGTTTTCTGCGTCCACTCTTGCCTCAGCAGTGCCCGAGGTGTCCGGGCTCATCCGGGCCGTGAGGCTCCTGAGGAAGTGGACGTCCACGCGCTCGCCCGGGGGACACTCACGGCTACGAAAAGCCAGCAAGAGACTACACGTGTTCGGCGGGAGCCAGTGCTCCAAAGAGTGCCACAACGATTTCGTCCAAAAAAAAACTTAAAAAAAAAATCCACCGTTTTCGTTGTCATCAACGCACCTCGACGGGGCGGGCCACCACGCTCAAGGCGTCCACGGTCTCCTCCTTCTGCTGGGTAAGGATGTCCTTCAGGGTACCGGCAGCTCGGAGCTCGCCCAGGGGCTTGAGGCCGTACTTCGCCCGCGCCTCGTCGACCACCTTCATGATCTGTCGTGTGGGTGGGACGTGGGGGTCGCCAGTAGTGGGTGGCGGGCGTGTTACTCTTACGTATCTGTTGGCATGGCATCGGCTGCGCTTTACTTACATACAGAGAAAATCAGTCTTCAAGAGATAGAAAATTTCTCGTCGGCCGGCCTGCGGACACGGGTGTTGGCTTCTCCCCATGTTGTTGAGCGGCCCGTTGTTGCAGGGGTGGAGCAATCCCGAAGCGCCACGGGAATACCGCCGTGGACACAAACAGACAAAAACACATGCCGTGGTAGACGGAAAGGCACGGAGCTCCATGCATGTCGTCCAGCCAAAGTGTGCCCCAAAATCACAGAGAAGAGGGGAGTACATGTCTTCCACACAGCAACTGTGGATCTTTCTCTGCCCTCCCCTCCTCGCACGGCCGCCGTTGAGGTCACATCACGGACGGCGGGTGGAACAAATACGCCAAAGGTTCAAAGCACGCGCACCCGGAACTGCTGGTTTCGCGCCAAACGGTACGCCGAAATGGAGATAGCCAAAACGTCATGAACAACTCGGACCCGGAGAGCGCGAAACAGCGGTGGTGGTGGGGTCCTATCGGCCGGAGGCCGTGGAGGCCCTGGTTGCATAAGATATCACACAACCTAGACCGATGTCCGTCCCAGAGCTCCATTACTCGGCAGCAAAAAATGTCCGAACATGGGGCGGCGTTGGAACCACCTCGTTAAGAGCTTTCCAAAAACGTGTCATGTGATTGCTGCACCCCTCCTCATCGCGGAGAAATCGAGCTTTTCGACGAGGGAGTGTGGTATCTTACGCAACCCGCGGAACGCGGAAAGGCGACTCTGCACCTTGGGGTCCTCCGCTCCCTCTGCCCGGGCCGTGGCGATGTCCGGCAACCCCTGCGCCTTTCGGTCTTCCTCCACCACCTCCAGCATGAACTCGAAGGCCTTCCCCGCGTTGTTGCGCACGTACTCCGTAAGGTCCGTCAGCTCGCCGCCCTCTGCGCCCGACGGCGTTTAGTGGGGACGATGGGGATGTGTCGTATCAGAATGTGCTGGCTCGGGATTCAGCAGGAGGAGCAAAGACCGTTCGCCTTGTGGTTGCTGTTCGCCACGGGGGGGGGGAGAGGAGGCGGCGCCTGGCGATGATCGCTTCCTACCAGCTACCACGTTTTAGTGCCTCCTCCCGTAGGAGGGGCGGTCGAAGCGGAGAGAGACCGACCGACCCGTCACTACTCAACGTGACAACGTGATCCTAGCCCTAGACACTCGCGGGAGCAACTAGGAAACATATTTTAGTCTACCCGCGACTGGGAATAAGAGGGCCTGCAAGCATCTCTTCCTCGAAACTGTCGGTGACATTTTCAAAACCGCCTGGGACGATCGGGACTCAATTATTCCCTCATACAGGTGGGTGAGTTGCTGCTGCAACGCTGCTGGTCGCGCGGCCAACTCCTGCAAAAAATGACCGGCGGGTTTGCATAGCGCCTGGCAAACGCACCGATTCATGGCCAACGACCCGCAACGGTGAGATAGATCGCGAGGGGAAACATGCGCGTGAAGCTTGGAGATTCTTAAACCAGGGCGTATGACGGCGGGGCAGAGATCGTCTCGACGGCGGTGTAGGGCAGGCACATCTGTAACGACGTTTATACCTGCATGCTTTGTCGGTCATGCTGCTGTTTCAACCGTGATGCTTTGCTTCGTGGGCCACTGAGACCTCCATAACCCCCGTGTACTCGACGAAACATGTGAGAACTACTTATGCATATTGTACGGACGAGGGTGTTTGGGCAACTATGCATACCAACAGCAGCGGCATCCGTGGTGCCAGCACTGCTGTACTTGCGGACTACAGGTAACGTGAATCCGAACAATCCGAATGTGTGTGCCCGCGGGCATGTTTCCACCGAGTGCGAACAGCAGTATGTTGGCAGAGCAAAGTGGAAGAGTTGCCGCCTACGTACCCTGGTCTAAGGGACAACGCACTCTGTCGTCTATCTTCGCACATTTATGAACAGGGCGTGCCCCACTCAAGCACTAAACATGCATTCATTTGGTACATTTGAGGGCCAACCGCCACATCACTACTAATGCCGTGGATCACGTGGAGGAATCATGCAGTTTGGGCCCTGCTGCTATTCCCATCGAAAACAGAACCCCCCTTTTGCCAACACAAAACCCATCATGAGGAGTCGTGCAACAAGTCAAGCCAACAGCACTCACTGGCGGCTTCCGGGAAGTAAGGGGCGAGCTCCCAGTAGGCCACCTCCATCGCTGGCGTCTCCGTATCCCCGATGGTGCCGTCGAAGTCGAAGAGCACGGCCACGCGCTTCGGGTCGACCTCGACGTTGGCTCCGAAGTCCTCGGCCAGGCGCGATCTCCTGAGCTTCTCCTCATCGGTCAGCTCTTCTTCCTCCCCCTCTACCGCGCTAAGCCCGGTCGGTCCTCTGGCAGTCCGCTGCTGCTGCTGTTGCCACCGCCGGTGTCGCACAGCGGAAACATGCGCCGCCGTTGTTGCCGCGGACAACGGTCGGCTCAACAACGACGAGGAGGTAGAGACGAGGAAAGCCGTGGCACCCGTGTGGTAGCAGAGCACCGCGGCAGCCTGTATGGTCCGCTTCATCGCCATCCTGATGCCCCCTCTCTTTCTCTCTCTGTCTCTGTCTCTCTCGCTGCTGTTGCGTCTGACCGTGCGTGGGCTGCACTGCTGCTGCTCCGTGTGCAATGTCCCTCGCAAGCAAACAGACACAGAACATTACATTCGTGAAGGGGGGGGGGGGTGTCACTATGACAAAAAGCGGGAATAATGGGGAGGGGGGAGGGGCTACTGAAACCCAGAAAATCAATGCGATCGCCAGTCGCCTTGACCAGTGACGGCCCACATCAGGTCATGATGCTTCTCCAAGCCAGCCTAGGTGCCGACATGGCGAGGCTGAGGCGCCTGTCGAGGAACAGGCTGCTGACTCTCGGCTGCCTGCTGCTATCGCCGATGCTTTCGTCCGCCTTCTTGTTGAACCTGACGTTTGCGCCAACGCAACAGCGGATCGCGGCGGCTGCCAGCAGGAGCGGGGGCAACGGAGCAGCAGCAGCAGCAGCAGCAGCATTAGCAGGAGGAAGGAGAGGCGGGCTCACCAGGTGGAGCCGCTGCCGTAGTGCCGTGAGACTGGCGGCTGCCGCTGGGGAAGGCTCGGGGCCCAGCCCCAAAGGCGAGAAGGTACGAAGAAAGAAAGATGTGTTCATGCGTATGATATATCTCAAGCACCGCGTGTACGTTGTCATATGAAAGAGCAGGTCAAGAAAAAAACACGTTGTTGTCGGATGCCACGCGCTTCCAGGATGATGTGGATCATGTTTCGCATCGTCAGAGGCCTGCCCCCCCCGCTCGCCCTCAAACCACGCCTTTTCTCCTCTCTGGGCTACCCGCGGGGACGTTCACGCCACGCCGACCCAGCGTCTTTGGTCCGCACGAGGCACATGATTCTCGTCGAAGAAAAATGCATTTTGAATGACGAGTGTATGGCAGGACTGTATTTCTCAAATCAATTGTGGTTTTGAATCTTGACCTCCGTATGTAACACATCATCGAGCGCGTGCCCCGTAAATATGTAGACTATATGTGCTGATGATGATGCTGGAAACCACGCAATTCATTACGGAGGGGCCGGGCGCGGGGTAGACTGCTCTTGTTCCGGTACGCGGGGAAAGGGTTGCTTTCAGGCACACCCATGGAGGCATAGTCTATCTTTTGTTTTTATTTTTATGTTTTTACTACATTGGTTTGGTTGTCTTCAAATACTATGCACACCAATACCAAGAGTACTTTTTGTCACCATATTTTACCTGCTGTTGGGAGAAGCAAGGGTGTTGGGAGGGAGGCTTAGAAGGGTGGGGAGAGCGCATCGCAGGGCGCACACACGCGCCTGACTTTGACACAGCCAGGTCATGCCGATGCAACCTTGATTTCAAAGTATTTCCTCAAAGGCAGTAGTGTTGCCCTAGCGTCAATCGCCGTAAGGAGTCGTGTCTCGTGGTACATATCATACGAACGTTTTTGCCTCGGGTTAGCGAGTGTATTCAGTGTAGAGTTTCGCGGCGAAGGTTCGACGTTGCTCCAGCCCCTCTCCGACAACGAAGTCGAGCGCTGCGCACTCACGAAGGAGCGCATTCTACACAGCGCAGCGGCAGCGCTACCGTTTTGAAAGCAGGACGTTGAAAAAATACAGCCTCCATAGCAGTGGGTCGGGACAAGAAGGTCCGAGGATACCTTCGAAGGACCACAGGGCCACGTGTGTTGTGGAAAGGTTTTTAATTCGTACCGGAACGAAACCGAGAAAGCTGTAGGAAAATGGGCATCGCCCATGGGTATGTACCATGCTGTTTTTCGCCAGCAGCAGCAGCAGCAGCAGCAGCAGCAGCAGGGATGATAGCAAAACCGTTTTATGTCGAGAAGCAACATACGGTACGGGGTACCAAACCTTTTCTCTCTCTGTTGCCTACACCCGCTGGTGAAGTCCAAGTCCCCTTACGGAAAGGCACGGGTCTGAGTTAAGATTAATACGGGATGGCATCACAACACACCGGCAGTGCGAGGGTCATTTGCAGAGAGAGCTGTGGTAGATTTGCTGCTGGCTTTGGCATCAAGATTACCTCATACTTCAAGCAGTATGCTGTGTCGGAGTCGGGTTTTCTTGTTTCCGGTGATGGAAGGTTGGCCCTGCCGTCGCCGTCGGTGGCGTCGTCCGCGTGAAGAGCACATTTTTTTCGGGGACATGGATAGACGGACCCCTGCAAACTCCTACGACTCGGCGGTGGCAGTGTGTCTGTGGCGAGGCTCATAGCTACGTACAGAGGCAGCAGCAGCCGCAGTCAACACACTTTCCCGTGCGCGACGACCTTGCTGAGCACTCATGCCAACACGTATGTTTTCTCTCTGCTGCCGACGGGAAACGCGGAAGGGGCTAGCCAAAATTCCGGACCTTGGTTCTTTCTTCGCACCTCTCTGCCACCCCCGCCGGTCATCCCCCCCCAATCTACACACGCGGCAGGAGAGGGGCGACAACATTTTCCTCTTGCATTGGCCTCGCGTTTGGGCCACCAAAATCGTTGTAGTCTGCAGGGAAAAACCAAGAAGAATAAGGTCGATATTGGTTGTCGTTGTGGGTGGGTTTCGAGTTCTTACGTTTCGCGCAACAATTCTCGTTAAGCCTCGCCTCAAGTTCGTGAGAGTGAGAGCCGCGTCTGTACGCTCCGCTGCGGCCCCTTCTCGTGTGAGCGACCCCTCGATCGATGCCGATCACTACTTATATTGCATCATGATGGAGGGAAGTGATGCACCTTTTGCAAGAGAAGGGGGGCTACAATCGCGTGGCCCCATGCCTTGGGGCCCTGCCCCTACTGAAAGTAGCTCGAAGTGCCCTCGGGAGGTTTTGTGCCAACATGCTGATCAAATTTGCTGGATGTAGTGCCTCGCATCCTATTAGAGTGTCACTTTTCTTCGATGTAGACCTCGTTGTGCTATGGCTTCCGGTTGTGCGTTGAACTTTTGTCGCCATGTTCTCTCCCTCCCCCCGCCGCCACTCCGCGCCTCCCCTCCCCGACCCGAAACAGGTGTACAAAGCAGACGACACGATCGTGCGAGAATCGGACATCGAAAACTGCAGGTGATGGATTGGTGGATGAGTTCCGTTGACCTAACAGTAGTGGCTAGTGATTAAGGGCAAGTGGAAAGAGAAGGGGAGAGGATAACCGTCCTCACTGGGCGAGTACGACAGGTCACGAAGGTCAAGCGGCCTAGACTCGGTTTTTTTTGCACACATGTGTATGTACGAGGACGACAAATCCACCGGTACAGAAGAAATGAGGGGCAGCTGAAGAAGAAGAGAACAAAACGCTGCTCGTTTCCCCACACTACAGAACCGCCTCGCTTTTCCCAGCGCACGCACAACACACATGACCCCCCCCTCCCCGTGAGTTGTTCGTTTTTGCTGCTGCAGGACCTATGATGAGTGTGACCTCTCGCCCGAAACTCTCGGCACGCCCTTCGGGGACAAGACGGGCACGGAGACGGGGACGCCCACGGGGGCCAAGGAAGGGTACGACAGGAGCCGTTTCCACGTGCACTTCGGTGCCGGACGGCTGGGGCTGGGGCTGGTGGTGGGAGCGATCGCGGAGAGCAAGACGCCGTTCGGCATCGTGCAGCGGCCGAAGGCGTCCTGGGGGGGCATCATCTCGAACGTGAGCTGCTGAAACTCTTTTTTTTTTTTTCGGTGCTCCGGCTGGTGTGCTGCAGAACCCCGCGTTCCGGTGCTGAGAAAAAGCCCGCGTTCTGGCGATCATGGCTGTGTGTGTGTGTTTTTGTTTGTTTCGGGATCAATAGATTTACAAAAGTTTTGCTTGCGCGCCCGAAACCACGCAATTCTGCGCCACAGTTACGCTCTTTTTAAGACAGTGGTTTGTCGCGTGCTATGTACAACTCGCAAGCAGACCCCGTAGCTTCGGCGACCGCTCCTTCCTTGTAGAAATACGAGCCCCCTCCACATCTGAACGCCAGGCGTAGGGTTCACGCAGCACCGCGATCGTTCCCCCACGTGCACGATACACGTGTGCACTGCGCGCGCACGGACTCGAACAACAACAGGGGTGCGGGTCACAGATAGAGATCACGGTCAACGGTAAGCCGGTGGTGGAGGACGTGACGGTCATCAGCGAGGGCTGTGACGTGGAAGAATATCTCAAGGTCGGCGTTGCAGCCATGGTCGTGGTCGGTGACCGCCCCACGCTGACTCAGCTCGTTAAGAAGGTGGGTGGGGGCAGCCGTTTTTTGCGAGGGGGCTGGCGGGCGCTCAGCCATCACGACGAGGGCGGCGGGGAAAGATGGAAGATGCACGGATTTTTCGTCGGGAGTCTTGTGGGATGGGATGGTGGACCGCCCACCCAACCCCAAGCGAGTTAAACAGACGCGCGCAAGTTTTGTCGTGTGTGTACGGTAATGGTCATTCTGTTTATTGTGAAGCTGAGCTTTACGCCCTGCATCGGTATTTCTTTGCATCGTAGATGTAAGACTCTATTCACCAGATTTGCTTTTTTTTTTGTGTCGTATGTTGTGGTTCGCTGGGCCTTTCGAGTCTGAACCACATCAGCCAGGTGTGTCAGCTCTGGAAAAGTCAAATCTGGCAGCTGGCAGCTCGCCGTGGCCCAGTCCTGCCTGTTGTTATCAAAATTTCACATGCTGGATGCTAAATCTGCTGTATTGGCATAGCAGCAACGCATGTCAGCGTCTCCCCTGCCAACAAGAACTGACCACCTTCGAATGAATGCATGCGACAGGCAACCAGCTTCAGCTGCTCGTTGGGTGCGGCGATGGGAATCGCGATGATCCCTCTCCTGGAGCAGCTTGAGGACATGCCGCCGGCAGAACGCCCTGTGCTTTACGCCTGTGAGAATTATGGCGTATTGTTTTGATTGTTGTTGTCGGGGAGAATTTTTTTGTGTGTTCCGTTGTTCCGTGATTGCCATGCGGTTGGAGAACGACTTGGAAGAATTTGACGTGCTCTTCGTTGCTTTTTGTATTACTCTCCTTGACCTCTTTGGGATGTAGGTGATGTATAACGCCATCGTACTTTTGGCGATATGTTTTTTTCTGTGCTGCCTGGCTGTTTTGCAGGTAGACGTTGTTCTTGCCAATGTTCTTTTTTGGTGTACCCCTTTGGCGTTGTTCGCCTGTGACTACGGAAGACGTCCGTGTCCCGATGCCCCGATACGGATGCTAGAAGGCACTGGGCAGAGGCCGGATTTTTTTTTTTAAGTGACGACAAACACAACACCAACAATTCGACAACCGGTCTGTTGACGCTTCAGCACACGCACGCCATGCTGTCGTGCCCACATCTATGAAAGTTAGTTTTGTTTCGTTGGTGCGTCTGTTGCGTGATCACCTTCTGTGGTTTCCTTCCTGCGTGGTGACTGGTGCGTGCAATATTGGAAGACAAAAGAACGCCAACAACACGATTGCAACGACGGCGACGACAACAGCAGAAAAAATGACAGGGAACAGCGTCGCATCATCAAGAACTACAACAGTGTTGGCACCCAGTGCATGCCCTTGAACAGCAGCAGTAACAGCAGCAGCAACAGCATCTAAGAACGACAACGTGTGCACGTCGACGAACCCCGCCCCCGCCCCCGCCCCCGCCCCCCCGCACCCGTAGGCGAGAACGACCACGACGCTGCGCGAAGAGTGGGAGAGTTGGTAGCCTCGAAGGTCACCACCGTTCCCTGCATGGTGGACCGAATCTGCACCGGCAGACAAATAGGCAAGAGGGGGGGGGGCGGGGGGGGGGGGGGTG